ACTGGATATCAGGCATGAAGCTAAGTGCTTTCCATATTATTTCACTTGAGTTCATCCTCACAGTAACTCTGTGAGCTACGTATTATTAACCCATTTTGCAGATAAGGAAACCAAGGCTTAGGAGAGGTTAAATAAATTTTCCAGGATTCGTTCATTCAATAGGTATTTATTGAGTGTCTACTGTGAGCTACTGAGGACCCAGTAGTGAACAAATCAGAAAAATCCCTACCTTCAAGTAACTCACTTCCTAATGGAGGGTAGCATGGCTAACATTTATTAAGTACCAGACAACATTTATTTGTGTTAACTCTTAGATGGGGGGTCTTGGGTTTGAACCTAGGCATTCCAAGGCCTATGCTCCTGTTTCTATATTATTGCTCTGTACTGCCTCACCCAGCTAGGCCCGCTCAGCTGGTAAGAGGTGAAACTTGGGGTTCCCACCAGGTCTGTCTGTCTCCATGGTCTCAGCCACCACTACTTTACAGAGGAACAAATGGAGCATTTGTCTTTATTTCTCCATCCTACCCATCCATTTCATGGCCTAGAATAGAATCGTGGACCTATGCTTCCTAAAATAAAGGCAGGTTCATTTTTAAGACAAATGCTTAATTTTTTAAGGTTAATGTCACTTCAGATGGTGCTGAGGGCCCCAAGCCTTGTTTCCTTTAGGCCCTGAAACTGTGATATTTGAACTTGCTGCCATGTGTTGGAGCTGTGTTCAAGTATCTGCCACACCTATGATCAGAACCACGGTTTCCTGGTTTGTTCAATAAATAGCATAATTTTATAGCTATTTCCACCTAATATGATGGATGGAACCAATATCTTCTTTGAGGTCAAATTCCAGTGTGTCCCAGTTAGGGCCTTGTTTTCAGCTATTCAGAGGCTTCCACCAAGTGACTGCAGACAGGATTTGGTGTTGTGATTAAAAATATAAGATTTAGGAATAAAGGTTAGACTGGATTTTTGCTCAAGGATCTTTTCTGTTTACTTTTAAAATGGAATTCTCTACTTATAAGAGAATAGCAATAAAATGGCACTTCTTGGAATCCCCCACATCAGCTCCAGATTGGTTTTATTATACATGGGGCTCCTCTAGAGCCTGGGCAGTTCTGCACGTGAGTGCTGAAGTCCAGGGTCAGAGGGAATCCTGCTCCTCTCTTCCATTGCTTCTGTAATACACAGCACCTTTGCCGAGAATAGGAGAGTGCCTAAGTGGAGGACTGCTCTGCCTCCTCCCTCTCTCCCTACGTCATTCTGCCTCCTGCCTTCAACTCTGTAAAGTTACTAAAACCTCTTCTAACCCAACCTAGTCTTCCTTTTGTCATTCAGCAAGTATTTTCCCAGTACCTACTTTATGCCAAGCTCTTTCACCCGAGTCCCATACACTAGCCCTTTCTAGCAGAAAGGAAGGGAGCAGACAGATGAATTAGGCTTACAGTTAATAAATCCATGGAGTTAGCAAGATTTTTCTTAACTGGACTTCTTAAATGAGTCCAGTGGGGTGAACATAGCACTCTCCAGGGTAAGAGATACCATTACCAGGAATGTAGAGTCTCAAAACGAGGCATTCCTTGTGGTCAATGGGCCTGCCTCCTGCTCTGATTCAAACTCACCTCTTTCAGCCCCTGTGAATTAGATAATAGAATCATTTACTCAATTTACCATTATTTATTAAGCACTACTATGAACCTGAACATTGGGTGCAGCCCCATGGATACACAGTAAGCAAGTCAGCTATAGTCTCTACCTTCTTGGAGCTCACCAAACACACACTTAAGCAATTACCCCAAAGTATGATAGAAGCTATGAAGGGAAAGTATAGGTTGCTTGGAAAAACTTATTCCAGGATATCCAACCCAGTATAGGTGGGTCAAAGAAGGTACCTAATGTAGTTGGGGAGAGGAAGGGATGTAAGAGAAGACTTCGTAGAGGAAGTGAAATGTAAGATCCAACCTGAAAGATGAGTAGCTATTAACCAGGGGAAGGGGAGAGAAGTATGTTCCAAAGAAAAGACAACAACAGGTACAATGCCCTAGAGGCAGAGGGAAACTTGGCACACTTAAGAAACTGACTTTCAGGAGAGTTGATAAACAATGTTTGGGAGGGGATGGGGAGGTGATGCTGAGCAGAGAGGCAAAAAGATGAGCCTGGAATGATGAGCAAGAGCCAGGTGAAGCAGGCTTAGTTTGGATTTTAATCTAAACACAATAGAAATCATTGCAGAGTTGTACACAGGAAGGGCAATATATTTTTTGAAAGAGGTGGTAGTATAGAGAATGGATTGATGGAGAGTAAGACAAAATAAAGGAATAGATGAAAGAGTGAATGGATGGATAAGTGGAGGCAGGGCAAAGAGACCAGTTAGGAGACTGTTGCAACAATCTAGTGAGAGATAATGGTATCCTGGCCTAAGATCATAGCAGGGAGGCTAGAGATGAGTGGGCATATTAGTGTGATATTTTGGGTGCAGAATCCATAGGGCTTGGTGACTTGTGATATGGGGAGTTTCAAAAAGAATCCTCAGGTTTCTGATTTGGGTAACTGGGTAGATACTGAGATAGAGAACACTGGTGAGAATCACATTTGAGTAGAAAAGATAATCAGCTCAATGTTGAGACATGTTGAGTTTTAGATGCCTGTACAACTCAGGAAGAGAACATTGGAGTTGATGGAACTTAACAGAGAAGATTGGGCTGGGTACATTGTTATGGAGTCATCAGCCCAGAGAAGATAGTTGAAGCTGTTATAATGGATGAAATTGTCTAGGCAAGCATATAGAGTGAGCAACGAAAAAAGCTTAAGACGTGACATTGAAGAATCCCATCATTTAGGAGAAAGAAAGAAGAATGCAGAAGAGACTGAAAAAGAGCAGTAGAAAGAAAAGAGGAAATCCCAAAAAGTATGATATCGTGGAGAGCCATGGAAGCATGCTTTTAGAACAGTGGGCTACTGTATCACAATGTGCTGGGAGGTCAAGTAAAATAAGAACTGAAAGGAAGTTTTGGGTTACTTTAACCTTCATTTCTTAATCTTCATTTCTGTGCTATTCAGTAAATGTGTTAAATTTCATATTCTTGGAGAATTTTTAGTGTTCTTTAAAATATTGTTGATTTAATTCCTTGATGTTCTCAATTAAGGTGTGACAAGAATTTAAGATAGGTATTAAGATCTTTCTTGAGTATGATACATTTTGGTCCAAGTCTCACATCTAGCATTCGTTTGGAAAATAATAATACGTGATTCTTCCCTACAAGAGAAGTACTGCGTTTAACTGTCTCTCTTCTTTTGTTCCCTCACCTTCCAGGCTTTAGTCTGTTTCCTATCTCTTAGCCTTGTGAGCTCTGCTTTTGGATGAAACTTTTCCCATAGAATTTGAATTAAAGCCTGGCTGATTCTGAAATTAGAAGTATAATTTCTTTCCTATTGTTCTAAACCATTTAAAAGTTAGTTCATAGGAATACATATCACCATGCTTAAAGAGTAAACTGTGACTTGGAGATTTAGTCATCCTTTTCCCTGTTTCTTTTCCAGCTCCAAGAGACTGTGAAAAGGAAGTTGGAAGGAGCCCGATCACCACTTAATGGAGACCAGCAGAATGGTGCTTGCGAGGGGAGTTTTTCTCCGACTAGCAAGCGAATACGAAAGGACATTCCCCCAGGGATGGAAGCCATCAACAATTTGCCCAACAACATGCCACTGCCTTCAGCTTCTCCTCTTCACCAACTTGACCTGAAGCCTTCTCTGCCCTTGCAGAATAGCGGAACTCATACTCCTGGGCTTCTGGAAGATCTAAGTAAGAACGGTAGACTCCCAGAGATTAAACTTCCTGTCAATGGTTGCAGTGACCTGGAGGATAGCTTCACGATCTTGCAGAGCAAGGACCTCAAACAAGAACCTCTAGATGACCCTACTTGCATAGACACATCAGAAACATCTCTTTCAAATCAAAACAAGCTGTTCTCAGACATTAACCTGAATGATCAGGAATGGCAAGAATTAATAGATGAATTGGCCAACACGGTTCCTGAAGATGACATACAGGATCTGTTCAATGAAGACTTTGAAGAGAAGAAGGAGCCAGAATTCTCCCAGCCGGCGACTGAGACCCCACTCTCCCAGGAAAGTGCAAGTGTGAAGAGTGACCCCTCTCACTCTCCTTTTGCACACGTCTCCATGGGATCTCCTCAGGCGAGGCCTTCTTCTTCTGGTCCTCCCTTTTCTACTGTCTCCACAGCCACTAGTTTACCTTCTGTTGCCAGCACTCCTGCAGTTCCAAACTCCACCAGCTCACCAGCAAACTGTGCTGTCCGGTCCCCTCAAACTCCAAACCAAGCCCACACTCCAGGCCAAGCTCCACCTCGGCCTGGAAACGGTTATCTCCTTACTCCAGGAGCAGTGACGGTAGCCAGTTCAGGGTCGGGCCCTGTGGCTGTGCCCAGCTCCGACATGTCTCCAGCGGAGCAGCTCAAACAGATGGCTGCACAACAGCAGCAAAGGGCCAAACTCATGCAACAGAAGCAGCAGCAGCAACAGCAGCAGCAGCAGCAACACTCAAATCAGACTTCAAATTGGTCTCCTTTAGGGCCTCCATCCAGTCCATATGGAGCAGCTTTCACTGCAGAAAAACCAAATAGCCCAATGATGTACCCCCAAGCCTTTAACAACCAAAACCCTATAGTGCCTCCAATGGCAAACAACCTGCAGAAGACGACAATGAATAACTACCTCCCTCAGAATCACATGAATATCATCAATCAGCAGCCAAATAACTTGGGCACAAACTCCTTAAACAAACAGCACAATATTCTTACTTATGGCAACACTAAGCCTCTGACCCATTTTAATGCAGACTTGAGTCAGAGAATGACACCACCAATGGCCAACCCCAACAAAAACCCCTTGATGCCATACATCCAGCAGCAGCAGCAGCAGCAGCCACCACAGCAGCAGCAGCCGCCAACACAGCTCCAGGCTCCCAGGGCACACCTGAGTGAGGACCAGAAACGCATGCTTCTCATGAAGCAGAAAGGAGTGATGAATCAGCCCATGGCTTACGCTGCACTTCCTTCCCACGGTCAGGTAAGTGTGCAAGTGAGACACACTTTGAGCAGTTCTCTTGGTACGTTTCAGATTGTCGACATGTGATGCTCTCCACTCTTCAGCAGTAGCAGGGTTTAATTACCTGCAGAAATCCTTCCTGTATATCCTCATGTACTTGCCAGGTTTGACTTTTTTTTTCCCTTTCTTCTAAGAGATGGAAAAGGGTGGTACGGTAGACTTTCCTGTATTTGAATGCCTAGGAATCAAACTTCTTTTCTTCCTGACAGCAGATAAGAAACCAAAAATTACTGAAAATTCTCACTCTGAGGGAGGCAGGCTGTAGAGGTCACGTGGCAAAACACGGTGCTCCTTCCGTAGCTTCTCTCCAAGGTTATGCAATCCTAGACTTGGGTGGTAGGAAGGCCGGAGCATTTAAGGATCCCTATGACAGCTTTGTAAGGCCCTGAAGAACCTTCACCTATCTTACTGAATTATGAATACTGGAAATTTGGATTCTTGATGTTCAAATGTGGAGAGTTTTCTGTATTTTCAAAGTGAAGTGGAGGACAGATTTTTGTAGGACCATTCAATGTTTAAACACTTATGGCTGAACTAGCGCAATTAGAAGCTGTTTCAACCTCGTGACTTGGGAGTGCAGTAAAACCTCTCCAATTCATTCAGCCCTAATCCAGGAAAATTTGATGGTGAATATGTCTTAGTGTTGTCTCAAAGTAAAGTCTTCTCTTTGCCGCTGTCTTTCTTCATGACATCCTGGTTTAGGGGTGTAGGGCTTTCAATGATCCATGGTAAAAATGAGTGGCAACCAGATGAGGAGTGAATACTCATTGACAAGCATTCTCTCTCCTCTTTCTGACCAGTGTGGCAAGTAGGCAAATCTCCTTTAATTTAACACTTTGTCTACCTTGAAGGAAAGGAGGAGTGGGGAAATGCACTGTTGTGCTGACCTTCCCCCACCACGGGCAAATTCAGGAGCCATCACTTACTGCCAATTGCTATTCTGTGCCTCGCTCCTCTCAGGATGCCCACATTTGCATTGTGGTTGGAAATTTTGCAGAAAGGTCTTTGCTTTAGCGGCCCTCATGTGCAAACAGGTTCTAACTAGTGCTTGGATAGGTGTCCACAATTGGATGCATTAGAAGTGCTGGGAAGTAGTGCAGGCAGATCTTGCATCACTAGGCAGCTGTTTGCATCTTGTATCTCCTGGTGTGCCCCACCCCACCCCCCAACCCAACCTCCCAAAGCTTGATGGAGGCTGCAGGGCTGGAGGTGGTCCTGGCCTGCAGAGACAGGCCTGAGCTCTGTGGCTTGATTCTTGTCCTTCACAGCCTTCCAACCCCAGAACCTCACAGTGGTTTCTTGTCTGCACATGCCGGCCAGCTCTCAAGAAATTCTGTCTGGAGAAATAAAAACACAGCTTGGTTTATATCAACTGCAATCAGTAGCTGGTAGAAAAACATCATTGAAATGTGAACTTTTATGTTTTATCTTGGTTTCATTAAAAAAATATATACCATTGGAGAATGCAACATTTTATACACTTCAGTATTAAGTTCTGAAGGCGGCAAAAATATAGGCAATATACAAGGATGTTTGTTGTAGCCCAGATACATCAGAGGTTTATGAGATCACAAGCTGTCAGAATGGTCTGTTGTTAATCTTAATACAAACTGTGCTTCTGTGTTCACTGTTTTTATGCCAGTTGCAGTAAAGTATTTCCTCCAAGCCAGACTAAAGATGATGGAATCCAACCCACAGGCTCTGCAGACATGTGGGTGCAATGTGCACCCATCCCCACCCCCACTACCCCCTCACTGAATGTCTTTTGAAATTTGTTAACTTGGGATGAAGTTCTTGTCTTTGCTGGAACGTGAATTTTAAAGGTGCTTATTTCAGGTCCTTATGCTTGCCTAACAATGAGTAACGGAAGCCTTGTGCAGCAGAGGTCATGTTTTGAAAGGGCTCAGTCAGGTGAAGAAACAAAAGTGATGGTTTTCTGGATTCAATCTGTGGGCTCCTCCTCTCTTCCTTCCGTCTCACAAGGTACTTTCAGGGCAGACAGAATCTTTCTTTTTGAGGCCTCATTAGAATAATCACTTCTTAACCTCATAAGGAACCATCAAGCTAAGGCATGCTTTGTAATGAAATATTAACTCACCACTGTTTGAAACAAGCTTCAAAATACATATATAAACATGTGAATATCTTTCTGCAAACAAACCGTTAATTTCATGCTTTTATCTGATTGTGGAGCAGTATTTACATAGCTCTCCGTATAGTTAATTACACTACATGCGAGTACGTTGCACAAATTCAAGCATGAATTACAGGCGAGATATAAAATATAATTATACGTAGGTGTAGTTCAAATTTGTTTTCTGCTGTTGCTGGTGAAAATTCACTTTATTCTTTGTTGGCTACAAGGACCATGGTCAACACTTAGTTTTAATGAATGACTTGAGCACCAAAGCCAATAACACTAGAACATTTATTTCAAGGTAATTATCTTATACAGATGTTTATTTGGGACGTTTTCAGAAAATGCCATTTCTCTCAGGAATGAATCGAAATTCACTCAGTTCCTGAGAATTTCAAAAAAAGAGAGAACCAAAAACAGAAACAAAAAAACATTTCAAAAATTTTAACATATTTTATCTACTAATTCCACTTCTCAGAATTTATGCATTATTGTCTATAATTAGAGAATTGAACAAAAATTTATGTACAAAGATTATGCTCATAGTGTTACTTATGATAATGAAAAATTGGAACCACAATAAGTATTTTAGAAAAATAAATAATGTACATGAAAATCATGATATTAATGAGAGATTAATCACATGGAGATGCTCATAAAATGAGTGAAATAAGCATATCATACAACAGTTTGTATGTTGCAATCCAGATTGTGTTTTTTAATATGTATAGAAAAATAATGAAGAACTAAAATATTAGGAATGCTATTTCTGGTTGGTAAAATTATAAGTGATTATTGTTTTCCTCTGCATACTTTACCGAATTTTCTAAATTTTCTATCATTTATGTATGTTAATTCTACCATCAGGAAAAATACTTTTTAAGGAAGGGAAATCCTATTTCAAAAAAGTTTATACTTCACTAATTCTTTAAAAAACATCCTATGTATCCAATTTGCCAGTTGGATTGAGGTGGTACCATTATTTTCTGTTCATTTACATCTATCAATTATAAATGCTTGAGTTAGGAGATAGTTCCAAAACCCTTCTGCCCACACTCACTCTCTTTTCCTTTCTCTCTCCACATCCTCTTTTCACTCCTTACCGTCTTAATTCCTATAAAACTTCAGCTAAAATAGTGACAACAAAAGTCGATAAAATTTCCGCCATTATGAGCTTTCAAATCTTCTCTGGGTTATGTTCTTGTATTATTTCTTTGATTGTTTCTCCTTTTTCACTTTCTGAAACTTCTGTTCATCATGTATTGGACCTTCTGGATTGCTCTCTAATTTTTAAAATATGTGTTTCTGTGATGAAATAACCAGAACTTACTTTGGTCGTGTCTATCTATTATCTTTTCCTAATCTCGTTGTTTCTCAAGGACAGGCTCTCTCCCTCTCTCTCTCTCTCTCTCTGTTTTTGCTATTTTTTGCATAGTACCTAACACTGTCTTAAACATAAGGATGTTTAATAAATCATTAAACATGGTATTTATCAAAGTTCGGGCCAAGAATATGTTTACAGTTGATTCTCAGCTCCAGTAGAGACAGCGTTAGCACAAATAACAGAGCTGCTTTTGAGATCAAATAGAACTGGAAAGGCAAGTCTAAAAAGAATCCTTTGATAGGAGGAGGTTATCTTGAGCCAGTGGAACAACAGTGAGATTGCTGGGACTACAAACTCAGTCTCTGTGTCTGACAAACAAAACAACAATGGAGCAACTATGAAAGGAGTAAACCAAAGCAAATGACCGCTTGCTGGTCAAGGAAGGTTATAGGGACACCCAGAACCCAGGAATAATTCCTACGTGGAGTAGTGGAAAGTGAATAATTTCCAAAATGTGATGTTAATTTTTAGTAGTTGCAATCATAAGACTAGATAGATCATAGACTATCTGAACATGTGTGTTTTCCGTGTGTGGCTGTATATATCAGAATGAGTCCTTATATGTTCATATTTTACAAAGCGTTTTCCCCTTTCAATTTTATTTTACCAAAATGTGTTGGGTCTCATGTGAAGTATATTATCATAAGCTTTTTAGCCGTAAAATCTCCACAGAAAGAACAGAGCTCCAATATTCACAGCCATCGTAGAAATCTCCTTGAAGATACATTTTCCTTAACTGTAAAAACCTGGAGCCCCTTTGTTTAGTTTCCTTAAAACATGTAATATTTATTTTATTCAAATAATACATATCAGAGTTCAGAAAGTCAAATAGAACTATAAGGCTTATGATGAAAAAGCTCGGGCCCCTGCTTGTTTTCTCTTATTTATCTCCATAAACTGCTGTTTCTCAATTTTTCAATTATTTGGTTCTGTAGAAGATGAAGATTTAGCTCATTTACAATACCTCCTCACAAACGTACATAACCCTCCTCCACACATTGTCTTTTTTTGTCTTCTTCAGATTCTCAATATAACTATATATTTTCGTAAATTATTATTTTTAACGTATTCCATTTTCACATGACTGATTTTTGCATAGTGCCTCACAGTTTAGCTATGTAGTATGCTATGATTATATTTCCTTTCTTGTACAACTTTTTGTTTCCTTAGAATTAATAACTGCCTCTTTTATTTGATTGGTATTATCTGTGTACCTACCTTCAATCCATTCTCAAACTTTTCTCCCTGTAAAACTTTCAATATGAGCAAATAATCTATTTTTCTTGCATTTTCTTTCCTTTTTTCTCTCTCTCCTTCCCTCTCTACCCTTCCTCCCCCCACTTCTGTCTCTCTTTTTCTTTCTTTCCTTCCTTTAGTGTCTCTCCTGAAGGCTTATATACCCTCTTGTTCCAATCTTCTTCTAACTACTGTTTTCTTGGT